GGATTGATTTCAACCGTTGGATGAGACGAGATGGACGGCTTGGATCTGAAGGTTTAAACGAAACGTCGTCGTTTGGCTTAGTAGGGGTCAGAATTGGTTCGGGTAACGGGTCGGGTAGTGGGGTTATGGGTGAAAGATCCGGACCGTTGGATCGGCTTGGTTTGAACGGTTGTGATGGATTGGCATCGAAACGACGTAGTTTTGGTGTTAAACTACGTCGTTTTATGGCCTGGGGGTGGGCTGTTTGGACTGGTGGCTTGGGCTGTCCATTTGGGCATTATTTGTTTGGGCCAATTTTAATAAATTGGCCCAAATCCGGAAAGGCAAGGCCCCCTTTTTTTTCTTTTTTATTATTATATAAAAAGAAATACAAAACTAAATAAAATCAAACACCCAATACAATTATTCACACACACGTTAAAATAATTCAAAAATGGGTAAAATTAAACAAAAAATAAAATCACGGACGAAGATGCCTATTTATGATTTTCTATTTAACGACCGGATTACGGTTTGAATTATGCAGGACACATATATTTTCGAATTTTATTTTTTTTAATAAAGTAAATAAATAAAAATGGGCCGAAGTCACAAATAAATCAACAAGGTGCCGCACAGAAATTCAAAATTGTACAGCAGGGCCAATTTTATTTTTTTTATTTCTTTTTGAAGCGATTGTCGTGCGAAACAAAAATCACATGCTCACAACAGGTTTAGTACGTTTTTTTGACACGAATCTATATTAGCTGGACTAAATTAGTTAGACTGTCTATATTATACCCTTTAAGATACGGGTCTGCTCCAGATCCTGCGTGAACACATAATACCCTATGTAAGTAAATTTTAAATAACCCAAATAGCCGCCCACCCAACCGGTTAAACTAAAAATAACCGGTAAAGATATATATATGCCTCCTCTGCCTATGCCACTGGTGATGAACTCATTATGGCTATTCAAACTCAGAGTTTTTCTTACTACATAGGCGGCTAAACGAAGCCCCATTCTTGATTTGTCCAACCCCAACCCCCTTATTAGTAGCCGAAGTAAAGACTTTCCTTGTTCTACTCTTCAAACTCGGAGATTGAAAAAGATCACTTTATACAACGATAGAGACAAGATCTCTATATGTTGATAGATACCCGAGAGATTGAGTCCTAGGGAGAGAGAGAAAGGAAGCATTACTCCCCAAAAACGTGCAACCAACCTTTCCTTCCCGCTTCTTCCTTGAGAAGAGAAGGTAGGGGCTCTGTTTTCACATCCGTTCCATATCATTATTCATTTTTAAGATCTCCCAGTATAATCGAATGGTAACTGAATCATTCCAATAGTTCCGAACAAGTCCTGCATGGGCTCTTTGTCGAATGAGTTTGCATTCCTCAATCCAATCTTTAAACTTTCGACGTCTAGAATAACTCGTTGGAGCACCCCCTCCATTCACCTTTCATTCCCATATGCATCGGCATATCTAGGTTCTCCCAACCCAACGGGTTCCCTTTCTTTCGAAATGACATTGCCAAAAGTCGAATCAAAGGCTTGACAGGAGAGCTTCTGGGCCACAGAAGATGCTTTTACATATATATATATATATATATATATATATATATATATATATATATATATATATATATAAAATTCTGTATTATATGTCTATAATTATTGTATAATCTATGTATATGGCTATAAAAAGTAAACAATGAATATGTCTGGTTATTAGTTTAAAGATCTTTACACAAATAGCCAACCATATTCATTGTTTACTTATATAGCCATTAATATAGTTTACACATTGATTATATACGATTATCCATATATAATACAAAAATTATGTAAATATTATACATTCATTAACTATTTTTAGTTTACGCGGTTGGGTGAGCGGCTATTTAAATTAATTCTTATTTTAAATACTGGATGATTAAGAAAAAGTAGTGTATGTATTATATTTATATTTTATTGACTTAAATTTTGAATCGATCTGTATGTATCAACTATTAATTAGTTTATTTTCTTAACTGAATCGAAATGGATCTCTATATATCATATGTTAATTTTATTTATTATTTTTCATCTAAAATCTGCTCATTTTTTGAATTGAGACGTCATACTATATGTGCTTTCCCATTGACCCTTGAGTTATTAAACTCCATAGATTGTTCGGTGATTATTTAATAGCTTTCTTAATTCTATTGATAGTAATGCATGCTTAGAATTTATTTTCTGCCTCAAATTGTGTATTATGTCGTGTTCTCCTTTGATGGTATGTACACTTATTTATTTTCTGCCTCATGTTGAACATTAGGCTCAAAAAGATTTAAACAAATAGCTAACATGTAGTAAGTGCTTTAATAGCCATTCCTTTTTACAAACTGAATGCCTAACTTCTCAAATTCATGCCACAAGATATAGACCTATATGTTTCACATATAATTGATGGAAACCTCATTTATGTTCAAGTCGTTATATTCTTATTCGATATTATATCGAATCAAATCCAATAATTTCCAGAGTTCTAACGTGTACGATTACAAAATCAATATTGTGGCACGTCGCATAAGCATAATCCAATTTGTCCTTGCTTATCAATAGGAAGATTATGTTTACATTGATGGTGTGCACGCTTATTTATTTTCTGCATCAAGTTGAAAATTAGGCTAAGATTTCTCATAGCCATTCATCTATTTCGAACTGAATGCCTAACTTCTCAAATTCATGCCACAAGATATAGACCTATATGTTCCACATATAATTGATGAAAAATCTCATTTATGTTCAAGTAGTCACTTTCTATCCGATATTATATCGAATCAAATCTAATAATTTCCTGAGTTCTAACATGTACAATTATAAAATCAATATTGTGGCACGTCGCATAAGCATAATCCAATAGGAAGATTACATTTACATTGATGGTATTCACACTTATTTATTTTCTACCTCAAGTTGAAAATTAGGCTCAAATTTCTGATAGCCATTCATCTTTTCGAACTGAATGCCTAACTTCTCAAATTCATCCCACAAGATATAAACCTATATGTTCCATATATAATTGATGGAAAACCCTATTTATGTTCAAGTAGTCACTTTCTTATCAGATATTATATCAAATCAAATTCAATAATTTCCTGAGTTCTAATGTGTGCGATTACAAAATCAATATTTTGGCATATCGCATAAGCATAATCCAATTTGCCCTTGCTTATCAAGTTGAAAATTATGCTCTAATTTCTAATAGCCATTCATATGTTTCGAACTGAATGTCTAACTTCTCAAATTCATGCACAAGATATAGACCTATATGTTCCACATATATTTGATGGAAAACCATATTTATATTCAAGTAGTCACTTTGTTATCCATTATTATATCGAATCAAATCTAATAATTTCCTAAGTTCTAACGTATACGATTACAAAATCAAATATTGTGGCACATCGCATAAGCATAATCTTATATTGTCTTTCTCTTGATTTAGTACAGTAGACATATAAAATGAAAATGTATTTTTAGCATAGCGTGAAAAGGGCCAAAAGTTCAATTCAAGTCAGAACTACAAGTTAATGTCATTAATGAGCTAGGACATTTATCAATAAACTTAGAAAATACTAAAACCTCGCGCTGCAATTTATACAGCAAATTGAGCAGTTATTGTCTCTTTTTGATGTCTTTCCTTAGTGAGAATATTTCTCACAGAATTGTGAAGAAAACTCTTAATACATCTATCTTCTTATATTTTGCTGCCATGAGATCACATGTATTCTTTTTGAACAAGACAAAGTTCAGATTCATACGACAAAAAGACAGAAAAACATTGTTCTAGACTAATAAATTTAACCTATAACCTATTCATAACTCAGTTTTGCCAGAAGATCATATTTCTGGAAATAAACTTCATTTTCAAGATAGCACGGAGTATCTTATACCCGAAGAACACAACAAAATTAGTAATTTACACATTCTTTTTTATATATACCGTACAAATGCTACTAGTACCCTATCAAATAATCAAAATACTAATGCGTCTGATCATGGTACTTTCAGCTTCTTCAGCTCTACCCATGAAATGGTAATGGTTGATTTTGACCAAAACCAAATCACGAGACCAAAATTAATCGGGCCGGGGAGTTCCGACGGAGTGTTAAAATCCATAATGAACCGTTCGAAGCAAAAAAGCTACCAACATTGTTCGGTTTCCCACTTCCGGCGAGTAGTGTAATGGCTACGAGCTCCCGCCGACGATACTCCGACAGATCGTCCAAATCTATTCCCAAATAGTGTCCGATCATATTTGGCACGTTTCTCTGGATCGGAGAGAGTAGCATAAGCTGATTGAACTCTAATAAAGTCAGCTGCTGACGAATTCTGCTGAAATCGGACGACATCGGGATGCAAAATTCTGGCTAATCTCCGGTAAGCAGACTTAATTTCATGAGTAGTAGCACCAGCTTGAAGTCCTAGAACTTCATACAACGATGACTGTGAGGCGATGTTAGAGCTAGCTGTAGTCCTTTCGGCGGTGGAGTAAGCGGCGGAAACAGAGAACGATCGCTGCTGCCGGAAGCTGACGGAGCTCGGTGGTGTTAGTGGCGTACCGGCGGAAAATTTGGAGCCGGTAATTGAAGTTGAGAGAAAAAAAAAAGAAGTAGAAGCCATTCGATTGGAATTTTTGGTTCTAGAACAATTTGGTTAGTTATTGTGTGAATGTTTGGATAGGTCATAGGTTAAGGAACGTATTCCTATTTATAGTGGTAGTGTCATAGGCGGGTGAAGCATTTACTTTTAATATAATTTAATTCAACACAATATCTTTGACACAGGATCTTTAGCTCAATTCATTCAAATATAAAAATTAATTATTAAAACCCATGTCATATATTGGTCATTATTTTTTTTGTTTTTCCGCCTAATTTTAGTATCGAGACCCTAATTAATTTAGATTCATATCGCATAAAGTTATTCAAAAGGAAAGTGCTCTCTAGCAGGATAAATAGCACTTATTAAAGTGTATGGTCTTAAATTTTTGTCTCCTTTTACTCTATAGGCAGAATTTCAAGTTTAACAAGTATTGCTTCTCATTTGTCCATGCGCAACACTTTAGTTTTTAACCTTAAGATTTTGCCCATAACCTTAAGCCTATGAGACAAATGGAGATCAAAAATTAAAGACCACCATAAAAAATATCATATTCTGCAATTTTGTGATCAAATTATAAGTCTAATTAAAAGTAGTAGGGGTTGTTTAATATAATGGTGGAATATTCCAAGATATTTTATAAAGTGGGATATTCCATGAAATTAGTTATCCCACCGGGATAGCTAATTTCTTCATTTTCATATAAAAGTAATTTCGGTATTAACTAATACCACAAACCAAATATAGTATAAAGTTAATCCCAAATTTTATTCGAAAATTATTATCATATCTCATGTATCAAACGACCCCATAGAATCATATTCATCTATTACAATCTTTGATGATATTTGGACTTAATTGAGAATGAGCCATAATCTAAAATTTCCCATGTCATATAATTGACTATAGTCATCTGATCTGAAATGCTAGCAATATGGTAAAATACGTGTGTGGTAAGGTTCTTGTTTTGGACGTAGGCTTATCCATTGGTGACTCTGAGAGTCTGAATTTTTGTTGTCTACCTCGTAAGTTATGCATTAAGTCATGGGACAACTATGAATTACTAGGACTTATTTTGTCCGCAGCTGCTTGTTCTTTTCTAATCCAGCTTCAATTCTGCTCGACTATCAAAATCATAGTGGAACTACATATGTTTTCTAACAGCTAAAATAAAAGTTTCAACAACTAAAAACGAAAGTATAAAGTTTTCAATCCACAATAATTGATAAAGTTATTTCTGTATCACATATAGATTACGGGTTCAATTCGTAGAAACAGTCTCTAATACTTGCATTTGAGGTAAGCTGTCTACATCATACTTTTCGGGTGCAATCCTTCCCCGGACCCTACATAAATACAACATATTTTGTGAACCGACCTGCTTTTTTAATTAGTAAGCTTTATAATTTGTGTTTTGCTCTTACTCCCTCCGGTCCGAAATAAGTAATTTTTTTGGCCTTTTTCTTGTGGTCCAAAATAAGTGATTTTTTCAGATTTCAAGAATGAATTAATTATTTTTTTCCTGCATTGCCCTTGGAGTAATTAATGTTAGAGTATGTGTTAGGAGTGTTTATGTGAAGAGACAATAAAGATTAATATGATCAATTTCATTGCTAATTAATGTTAAAAGGTGAATTTCTTATATGTGTGAAAACAACCAAAAAATCACTTATTTTGGACCGGAGTAGTTAAATTCACATTGACCTCAAGAGGTGGAGATCAATCTTGATAAATTTAAAGATACATTCCTCCAACACAGAAACGTTCAAGTTATAGCGTAAACAACATATCTTAAATACTCAAATAAGTAAAACATAAATTCATAACTTAATCAGATACATGCGTATAGTTGTTTAAACAATATTGCATGACATATAAGATGGGGCGATGCAAGGATGGATAAGATTAAGAATGAAGATATCCGAGAGAAGGTGGGCGTGGCCCCCATGGAGGACAAGATGCGGGAAGTAAGACTCAGATGGTTCGGGCACATTCAGAGGAGGAGCACTGATGCACCGGTGAGGAGGTGTGAGCGACTGGCTGTAGTGGGCACGCAGAGAGGTAGAAGGCGACCTAAGAAGTATTGGGGAGAGGTGATCAAACAGGACATGGCACGACTTAGGATTACTGAGGACATGGCCCTTGACAGGGAATTATGGAGGTCGAGCATTAAGGTTGTAGGTTAGGGGAAAGTTGTGAATATTTCTACAACACAATAGAGAGAGATTAGCCAATTAGGAGTTAGACTAAGAATGTCATTGGTCGTCTATTGATGCAGGGCTTTACCTGCTAGTTTTACTATACCAGCCATCTATTTCGTATTTTGTATTCTGTATTTCATATTTCATATCTCTTATACTGCTGTTATTTTATTATGCATTTTTATGGTATTAATATATCGGCTCCTGTTGCTTTTTGAGCCGAGGGTCTCCTGGAAACAGCCTCTTTACCCTTCGAGGTAGGGGTAAGATCTGCGTACATATTACTCTCCCCATACCCTACTTGTAAAATTATACTAGGTCGTTATTGTTGTTGTTGTATATAAGATGGGGCGATGTATAGAATTTTGTACTCTTGTGACAACTAGCATATTATGGATATTTAATGCTGAATTCGTTCAGTGGGTTCCTCGCTACTATATACGCGTAACCGGTAAATGTGCACCGCAGTACAAGGACGTCGGCACCGAAACCCATGTAGTAATGAATTTGGATGCAGGTTTAGTATGCTTGTTTGGCACGAATTTGTATTAGTTAGATCATTTACGTCACACTTTTTGGAATACGATTTTTTTCCGATGTATTAGAATACTCTGTGTAAGTAAATTTAAAATACTGGATGATTAAGAAAAAGTGGCGTATGTATTATATTCATATTTTATTGACTTAAATTTTGAATCGATCTTTATTCATCAACTATTTATTAATTTATTTTCTTAAATGAAGCGAAATGGATTACTATGTATCAGCTGGTAATTTATTTATTATTTTTTAACTAAGGCATGCAGAGGATAATCTACTCATCTTTTTGATTTGAGACGTCATGCTATATGTGATTCCCATTGACCCTAGAGTTCTGGAACCCATAGAATGTTCGATGATTATTAATAACTTTCTTGATACTATTGATGGTATGCATGCTTAGACTTTATTTCTGCCTCAAATTGTATATCATCTCGTGTTTTCCAATGATATATGCACGCTTATTTATTTTCTGCCTCATGTTGAATGTCAAGCTCAGTAAAAATTTTAACAAATAGCTAACATGTAGTAAGTGTTTCTAATAGTTATTTCTTTGTTTCGAACTGAGTGCCTAACTTCTCAAATTCATGTCATAAGATATAAATTTACAAGTGTTTGACTCAAAAGATTTTTAATTCTTTTTAAGCAAATCAATCAAAAATGGAAGAGGTAAATCGTAGTCAAACTCAATTCATACTGGATCGGAAGACAAAGTAGCAATAACCAATTGAAAGATGCAGTAATTGCTAACACATATAAGCCAAGTGGAACATTGGGAGATCTTATTAATAATTGAAGTGTCTCCTTCTCCTCCTCCATGGAGGGGGAGTAGGATTTACAATGGTTTTCCTTTTCTCTCAAGGTGGAGCTACTTTCTCTCTATTGACTTGTCCTCCTGCTCGAGGAGTTAGCCTGCCCCTATGGGCTTACTTGAGCTGATATATATATAATCGAAAGACCCTTTTACCCTTGCCATGACTTTGGCGTGCCAAAGGCAGTGAGGTTTCGTGGTTGCGGAAAATGCTCTGCTCTTGTTGTTGTGTTGAGTGCCTTAAAAGAGGGGTTAGATTGACTTAATTGCCTTTTTACCCAGTGACAGAAATGCGATCGTGACCGCCCTGGTCGGAGTGGTCAGATTTTGACCAATACAGTTAGTCCCTACGTTCGTCGGGATCGTGCCTCATTGGGGCCGGCGGACGGATCACATATGCGACGTAGTCGAGAGGAATCTGACCCCTCGTTCTGTTCTTTAGTCGTGAATTGCAAACGTGTAGAAATAACGTCGTCTGAGTTCGAGCGAGGTTGAACTGTTCTGTTTCAGTTGATCGCGAAGGTCGTTGGCCTTAGAAGTTATTTCGAACTTATCGAAATGACGGCGTCTGAGTTCGAGTGAGGTCGAACTTTTCTATTTCTGTTGATAGCGAAGGCCCTTGGCCTTAGAAGTTATTTCAAACTTATAGAAATGGCGGCGTCTGAGTTCGAGCGAGGTCGAACTTTTCTATTTCTCTTGATGGCGAAGGCCCTTGGCCTTAGAGGTTATTTCGAACTTATCGAAATGACGGCGTCTGAGTTCGAGTGAGGTCTAACTTTTCTATTTCTCTTGATGGCAAAGACCCTTGGCCTTAGAGGTTATTTTGAGCTTATCGAAATGACGGCATCTGAGTTCGAGCGAGGTCGAACTTTTCTATTTCTGTTGATAGCGAAGGCCCTTCGCCTTAGAGGTTATTTCGAACTTATCGAAATGACGGCATCTGAGTTCGAGCGAGGTCGAACTTTTCTATTTCTGTTGATGGCGAAGGCCCTTGGCCTTAGAGGTTATTTCGAACTTATCAAAATGACGGCATCTGAGTTCGAGCGAGGTCGAACTTTTCTATTTCTGTTGATGGCGAAGGCCCTTGGTCTTAGAGGTTATTTCGAACTTATCGAAATGACGGCATCTGAGTTCGAGCGAGGTCGAACTTTTCTATTTCTGTTGATGGCGAAGGCCCTTGGTCTTAGAGGTTATTTCGAACTTATCGAAATGACGGCATCTGAGTTCGAGCAAGGTTGAACTTTTCTATTTCTGTTGATGGCGAAGGCCTTTGGCCTTAGAGGTTATTTCGAACTTATCGAAATGACGGCATCTGAGTTCGAGCGATGTGAGAATGCCTTTTCGGTATTCACGTATCATCGCGATGGTATTAGAATTGAAACGCCGGTAGGTAAACAAAACATTGCTTCGTGCGAGCCATCATTATGACCCACGTTTCCGAGGAACTGAAACGTTTCGCGTCCCATCAGGTTCGAATGGCGACTCTTGGGTTTCGAGCTTGGGGGATTTGTCTCTTATAAATAGGGGGATCTTGTTATT